AAGAAGAAGAAGAAGAAGAAGAAGAAGAAGAAGAAGAAGAAGAAGAAAAGTGTAAACTTAGAATCAAGAATGAAGTTTAACTTTAAAACTCCCAGTAATGATTGGAGCTTTGGTGTGGGGCTGGAGGGGTGTAATAGCTGAAGAGGAGCAATGGTAGACTTGTGTCTCCCGGAAGTGCAGAGAATAGTGACCATGAGTGTTGGCCCTTAACAAGACATCTATAATCACCCCCACCAACTCCGGGAATATCAAGAAAGAGGGCCTGGAGGAACTTAACAGCCAGAGGCAGGGAGGAGTGAAACACTGTCATAGTGATTTTATTCACAAACTCACTGCATCTGTGTCCACTGTCGTCACGGCAGGGAGCATGGTGGCACACGGAGAGTCGTGGTGCTGGAGAGGCAGCTGAGAGTTCTACATCTGGATCCGCAGGCAAAAGGGAGAGACAAGCAAGCTGCTAGACCTGGCCTGCGCTTCTGAGACTTCAAAGCCCAACCCCTAATGACACCCTTCCTCCAGCAAGGCCACACCTCCTAATAGTGCCACTCTCGAGTCTATGGGGGCTACACCTACTCAAACCACCACAGTGGGGGAAAGGGGAGGGCACCAAAGTAGCAGGAGGCTTATTAGGAAAAGGTTTCAGCGGAGATAGGGGATGCTAAGAAAGGGCAATAGGGTTGAAAGCTCATTATATTCATGTATAAAATTGTTAAAGAATAAAACATTAAAATTTTCTGTCTTCTTCGCTTCCCTTTCATTTTCTCCCTCTCTCTGAAACCATGGTGCGTTGCCAAGTAACAGGCCTGCCATGCATTGGGAAACCTAGCCTGGACTGGAGGAGTTTCTCTGGGTCACAGAAGCACCTGGTCTATAAGGCTGAGTAAGAGTTAAAGTTCAGAGGACACAGTGCTTGCCTTGAGGGACTAGCACCTTGGCTGAATAGCACCTTAATGGGGAACAGATGGACTGAACAACAGCCTTTCTGTCTCCCATTCACACACACACACACACACACACACACACACACACACACACACACATACACACACTCATTCTAGTATCACCCTCACAAAAAAAAAGATTTGACAAATAGGGATTGAGGTCAGGCAAAACTTGATTTAGAAAATTAGTGTGGCTCTTACCTCTAGATTATAAAAATTCAGATCTCTCAAACACATCTACAATCTGGGTATCATAATCCTTATACAAAGATGACGTTCAATCAGCCTGAGGGAATCCCTCAAAAAAATCCACAGCCTCCAAGTGACCTGTGGTTGTTGCCATTTTAGGAGTCTTTGTTCACACTCACTTCTTTTAAGATGTGTCAAGAACATGTACTTCCTGGGTGGTAGTGGTAATGGGGGTGCACGCCTTTAATCCCAGCTCTCAGTGTTCCAGGACATCCAGGGCTACAAAGCAACCCTGTCTCAACCCCCTCCCCCCAAAAAAAA